AAACATTAATTCCATCTATTGGTGGGGAGCTGCACCTGTTGGAAAACGGGTCCAGCGTCGCATATTACACAGACTCAACATTACAAACTGTTCTCCTGTAAGGACCTCTCAGTCCATGAGACTACCAGAAGGAAGAACAATAGCTAGCCTCTACAGGGAGCTGAGTTGAGGTAAGAGGAGTTCTAGTACTCTTCTAAATCTTCCAATAACTGGGTGGGTTCAGCCACCTCGTCGCAAAGGTGCCTGTAAATTACCAGGTTCCTTTGTTCCGAGAAAGAAGCCCATTCAAATGGTGAGCTCCATCTATCTAACATTTTCCCTCTAGCTACATCTGTCATTAGTGGATCTTTCGAGGCTTGGAGTTTTCTCCATTCTGCCAAAATAAGATTACGGATAGCAAACTTGAATTTATTCCTAATGGCAACTGGAGACCAGACTTTAGACTTAAAATGCCTGTCTCTTCTTGCCAGCCACAGAGTCCAGAAGCCTAAAGCTCTAAACTTGTTTGCCAGCAACGATATCTTGTCCTAATTGTTGTTACCCATCATGATGAACTCCTTAGTCCAAACAGTTCCGGGGCCATATGCAAAAAAACACATGCTACTGATCCAATCCCAAAAACCCCTCGCGACAATGCACTCCCACCATAAGTGGTTGATATTTTCCAGTGCCTCGTGCGGACATACATCACAGTGTGGGGAGATTTTCATGCCTCTGTTGATGCACCATTCTGCTGTGGGAACGCAAGAGTGCAGATGCTGCCATTGGAGTCCGGCCACCTTGACTTCCATTATGTTGAGTATTATTGATATAAAGAGGCAGACTCATGTATTGCCGAAGGAGGGCCATGTGGAGACCTCATCCTTCTTCCTCCAATTGTTCCAGACCCTGGCCTGCAGAGTGGATGCCTTGGATCTGATGGCGTACCCCATCTTCGAGGTGTAGTCGGTGATCAGGACTCTTTGAGAGGAGGCGGTCTGATCCGCTAGGACCTACTCTGTTCTACGCACATCCACCTTCCAGGAAGCCTCGGGAGTACCTCCCATAAGCAGGGAGAATCTCTTGATGTTGTTAACATTGCGTTCCACGACATCCACCTCTGACCAAGTACGGTTCGCCTGGAACGGAATGTCCCCTGCTTGTTTCTTGAGGTGATCTTTCTCTGGAATCCAGACTGAGAACACAGGGTTCTGTGGATTCTCTCTGGATTCCACTCTGTACATGTGGCCATTGTCAGTCCCTTTCTTCCACCAAGAGCCTAACTGCCACTCTGTTTCCTGTGTCCTCAGAATCTCAATCCACCCTTGAGGGATGGCTTGCTGTAGTTGCTGCTTATGCTCTTCCACCCTGTGTAGTCCTTGGAGTTTCTGCCTCAGTTCTTATGTAGATTTCCACTGTCCACTGTTCTCATGCACCAGGTGTCTCAGTTGCCATACCCCCCTCTGCAGCCATTTCCGGGCAAAGTTGCCAGGTTTGTTGGCGACAGAGAAGGAAGAACCAAACTGGTCGGTGATAGCAGGGTTATCAAACAGACAGGTGTGGAGTACTTCTCTACTATCAGAGGGGCTGTCTAGTGTGTAAGGGAGCATTTTGCTTAAGGCTTTGAGGATCTGGGCCCACGTCGATGATTTAACCGAGGAGGTCAGCGGGTGCATGAGAAGACACTGCCATACTACCTCAGGGTCTATCAGGCCCCATTCCTTACTTAAAATGGATTGCGCAAGTATCATCCATGGCTGAGGGGGGAACGTTGTGAGGAGCCTGACGGGCCATTTGGATAACAGAGCTTCGTTCTGTCTTTCCGGATCAAGAATACCCATGCCACCCTAGGATCGCTTCTCAGTGATTTTCCACCAGGCGACCTTACTGACACATGATGAGACTGTAGAGTCCCCTTTCCACAGATACCTAGTCAGTAGTTGGCGAATCATTTTCAGTGAACCAGGACATATAGCTCTGATAGAGAGTATGTACCAGCCTGTGGACAGGATGGCACAATTGGTAATCAATGCCCTCCCGAATAGGGAGTGAAAGGAGTACTTCGAACATCTTGTGCATTCATCCCTAATCTTGTTTTCTAAGATATTGTCTTGCGCATGACTAGGGTCCCCAAAGGAAACGAGGATGCCCAGGTAGCGTTCGGACTCCGTGTTAACTGTGGATTTGATCCCCATGTCCATGGCTAATGCACTATTATCTGCTGTTAAGGCTGTGGACTTGGTCCAATTGATTTTCATTTCAGATGCAGATTCGTAAACTGTTAGGCACTGTCTGAGGGCTTGCAAGGATGACCTGGTGTTTGCTGTTATTGCTGAAAAATTGCCCGCTAACGGTGAGACCTTCAGTTCATTGTGGGGGGAAATTCTTAGGCCTGTGTATTCCTTGTGGTTTCGGATCATATTTAAGAGTACCTCCAGCTGGATTACGAACAGAGAGGGGGCAAGGGGGCACCCTTGCCTGAGCGATCTGGTTACTGTGAAGGGGCTGGATGTGAAGCCATTGACGAGCACCCTGCCCTGGGAGCCATGGTACAGGGTTCTTACCCATTTTCTGAAGTTAGCTCCTATTCCCACCCTCTCGAGGACTGCCAACATAAATTGTCAGTTCACCCTATCGTTCGCTTTATCGAAATCAATTAGTATGATTGTTGTGTTAGAGTTGGTGAGTTTGATGAGATCAATAGCCTGAGAAATAACCATAACGTTGTCCAACACCAGCCGACCAGGCACAAAACCTGATTGATCAGGTTCTACGAGTCTGGTCATGAAGGGGGACAGGCGCCTGGCTAGGGTCTTGGCCAGTATCTTACCTGCCACGTTAAGCAAAGAAATAGGTTGGTAATTCCGGACATCTGATCTGTCCCCTTTCTTATATAGCAACGTAGTTACCCCTTCCGAGGTTCTAGGGCCCAGCTTTTGGCCTGCCAGGACGTTGTTGAAAACCCGTAGTAGATCCGGCCCCAACAGGGACCAAAATTTTCCGAAAAACTCAACCGGGAGACCGTCTGGCCCGGAGCACTTGCTTCTGACCATACTCTTCATTGCCAAGGTTAGTTCCTGTAACGTAATTGGTTGATCCAAAACAAGTTCTTCTCCCGGAGACAATAGTCGTCGGGTAGAATCCCAGAGCATTTGTTCCATCTAAGGGGGTACCATTGGTTGAGTAGGGTCTTTTTCGGATGTTAGCCGTTTTTCGTAAAAGGATTTGACGTATTCGCAGATGTTGGGTGAGTCCCTCGCTCGTATTGAGTGGGGGGCGAAAGGGTGGGTCATTTTCGTGATTTCCGAGGCTTTATTGCCATCCTGTTTGATTGAAAAAGTTTGGGCGTTCATTCTGTCTTTGGAGATGATGGAGTCTATCTGTTTGAATCTTGTCCATGCTTCATGTCTCTTAATCAGCATATCCTGCCACTCGTGTAGCCACTGGGATCTTCTGGGTACCCTGTAGCTGTCGGTGATTGCGTTAAAACCCATGTTTTTTTCTGCCCTTTCGATGTTCCTCTTCAGTTTTATCTCTTCGAATCTCCTGTTTATTGCTTTCTTCCTCGAGATGGTTTGAAGGAGGGAAGACATCAAGTGCAACCCTTTATCTAACCATAACCCCGGGTCGGGAAAGAGTCGGGTGGAACAGCGCCATTCTTCCCAGAAGGAGTACACCCATTCCACCATGGCCGGATCTTCCATTATGYTCATATTCAGTTTGAAGGTGCCAYGACCYTTTTCCACCTTCACTCCYATCGACGTAACCARYGAAACTGGTTTATGGTCCGAGAGTGAATCATAAGTGATTTTTGCTTTCAAGATCAGGAGAAGGACTGATTCGCTAACCAGGATCATGTCCAGTCTCCGACGTGTAGCTAATAACTCATTGTCGGAGTTGGAAGTTATCCACGTGAACTCTTTCTCTGTTGGGTGAAGATCCCGATAAGGGTCAAAGAGAGCATTTTCCATCATTAATTCGTTCAAAGCTATTAATTCCATGGGATGTGAGAGAGCAGAGGATGAGTCCATTGATTCGTTCACTACCGTGTTCCAATCACCCCCTACCAATAGGTACTCGGTAGTGGGGATGACCGTCTTTAAGGATTGGAAAAAGCTTATTTTTGTGACGTGGTCTGCTGGTGCATATATTGAGAGTATGCACCATTTTTTATTCTCGATTGTGATGTAGGCTTTCGCCCAGCACCCCTCTGTGTCGGTTTCTATGTCTGAAACAGAGTTGCTAAGTGAACTGTGAACCAGAATGGCAACCCCCCCACGGGTACCGTCTGCCGGGGACCAAACCTGCGGGCCGGACCACCAATGTCCCAGCTCACTGATTCTTTCTGCATTCAATTTCGTTTCCTGCAGAAGAATAATTTGGGCTTTGCTCTGATGAATGCTTGCTTTAAGCCTAGCCCGCTTGTGTTTACCATTGCCGTCAACGAGTCCTCTTACATTCCAAGAAGTAACCCGCACTCTAGAGCCCATCCGTTCTTACGGACGGGGCCGTAGATTGGATGGCAGCTTGGGACGGGCCCCCAGGCTGCAGGGCAGCTGGGTCCCAGGGAGCCTTGAGGGCGTCCGAGAATGAGCGGGAAAACATCTTCTTATCTTGTGTGAGTATGTCATTGATCTCGGTTATGATTTCCCCTCTGATGCCATCACCCAGAACTGGGATCTGGCGTTCGTAGCTACTTGCTTGGAACCAACTGAGCGGCGCCCAGTATACACCACTGCTGGCCACCAGAGGGTCCACACGTGTGAAAAGTGTTGTGTCCAGGCAGAGTGCACTGATTGGGTAAATCTTGCGTGAGGCCCCGATCTTATTAAATGTGATCATTGGGTGATCCGGGATAGGCCTTACAACAAATCTGCCCTGAGCCACTTCCACTCCCAGATTGAACAGGGTTAATGGGTCCAGGGGGGATGCCATTGACGCGTACGGGAAGTTGTAACCTCCCTGATTATTAACCTTCAATATGAGGAACGCTTCCTGGTTGGTGTTCTTCAGCAAAATTGGCATTGCCACGCGTGAGCCTTTCGTTGTCCCCTCCGTGGCGTTGGTCTTGTTCCCTGCTGGACCTGGGGCAGCGTCTTCCCCGAACGCCTGAGGTCTTGTTCTTTTCGGGGAGTCCTGCCTACCTTTGTCTTCTCCCAACATCGTTGTTGTGGCTCCGTTGACGGCATGGCCTTCCGGGTGTGAGGACGAAGGACATGCTGTGCCGCCCGTGCTCCCTTGTGACGTTCCCACTGGGACTGTCTCTGCGTTCAGGCCTTTCCACTCTCGAATATTTTGGTGCCAAGTTCCTTTGGCACCAGACGACGCATTAAGCTGTGTGGCATTGGAGGGCTTTTGGCCTAGGCGAGAGGGGGTATACTGACCCTGTCTGTCTAGTCCTGCTGCTGTGTTACCCCGAGGATCTGGAACGCCCCTTCCGGGCTGACCTCCCCTGCCTGCGGCCCCTGAGGGCTGGAGCAGGGGGTTCAGCCATTTGGTTGGGGTTATGGTCTTCTTTCTTTCTTTCTTCGTGGATTTGTGTTGTGGGTTCATGGAGCCTGAAGCGGTGGGCGTGCCCAAAGCCTGGAATGAGCCCAGGCCTAGATTCTGGTTAGCAGAATTGTCTTGCCTCCTGCCTGCGAGAGTCAGTGTGTCTTGTCCCTGATCTTCCTCTCCGTCTTCACATATGCATTCGTTTGGCAATCTCAAGTATCGTTTACAACCATCGCACCAAGGGGTCTTGCTGTTAACAAGATCCCCTGTCAGTGACTCCTTTCCGGTACAAACCTTCAGGGAACGCACGTACTTTGCTTCTACGTCTGGGTGTAACTGAAATTTGAGGTTACCCAGTCTGGGATCGATTGGATCGCTCACCGGGTCAAATTCGTTCAGAATTTTCCCCATTACCATTTCGATACCAGACTTGATATAGAAGGAAGCGTTAATCGCAAATCTAAGCGCCATTACCCAAGAGACCCTTCTTTTCTCTTCCTCCCTCTGCTGAATCCATTCTGATCGAGGCATCCATGGTCGAAACAAAATCTTGTACGTCTTACCCTTATCCACGAATTTCTCAATTCCTTTCGTTAGTAGATAATCTACTATCTCTGGGACCTTCGCTATGTAAGTTACCTGTGTCTTGCTCTCAATGTGCGCAAATTCACTGTGCGTCAACAGTTTGTCTTCTGGAAGCAAGGCGTTTTCCAAAGAACGGATCATATCTAATTTCCTGTCGTTCTTCATGTTCTTCGCCTCGCCCTGAAATATAACAGCTATTCCCATGGTCTTGAGGAATTCCTCTTCGACTGCTCTAATATTCTCTTTAGGGTGGATCTCAATACAGCTTTCCTCCTCATCGATTTTGGCCTCAATGAAATCAGACACGTCCTTATTAACGTGATCAAGGTACCAACCGCTAACTAGGTTCGCGAGACGTGAAGCCTCCTCTTCAGGCAATGACTCCATGATCGATGAGGGAGTAGCGTTTTGAGTTACACCCCGTGGGCTGTGGACGGAGCCCTGATCCGAAGTGTTCATTGGGGCTGACGAGTGGGGGTGTCGAGGGACTGAGCCAGAGTAAACGGGAAAAATCAGATGTGTATTGCCGCCCTGTGGCGGAGGTGGGAGCGAGACTGAGAAAGCTGTAACAGTGTTAAACAGCGGTGTGGAGCCGCCCGGACCGAAGGATGTGAATTAGTAGAAGTTTGGCACGCGAACCCGACCTGGCTGACTTCTCTGAATTCGGAGTCAAGAGGTGGGCGTGACGTGGAAGTGGACTAGGGGTGAGGAGTAGCGCAGGAATATTAGTGAGTGTCGAGGCGGAGTGTGGGAAGAGAGGATTGTAGTACTCGAGTGCCGGAGCGGAGTGCTGGGGACAGCGGGAGATTTTTAGGCGCGGGGATTGAGGTTATGCAGCGTGTATTTAGACCATATTAGCGGTAGAAGGAGGGATGTGTCCGGTTGGAGCAGGGTGTGGTGGCGCGTTGGGGGGGAGCGGTGACCCGCGGAGGACCGGAAGGCGAGGTGCGAACATAGGGCGACTGTAGTCTGCCCTTATTCGGAGTAGCGGTGAGGGGAGGGAGGAGACTACGGAGATATAAATGAATTTGAAGCAGGGATGAGTGCGGGTGGGCCCAGCTTACCTAATTCGGAAGGAGGGAACAGTGTAACGTGAGGGCGAACTTGTCCGTGATCAGACCGGGACTGTAACTTTGTAATGATGAATTACAAAATAGAAAAAGAAAGGTGCAACTTTTACGAATTGAAAACAGGAGCGTTCGCCGAAGACATTACTTACCTAAGAATAGTAATAATAATTGTTAATGCCCCAGAATAGAAAGTCGCAAGAGTGGGAGCGTCTCACTAGAAGATCCAATTTATACGATTTGTAAGTAAGAACGTCCGACGGGAGCATTATTTACCCCAACAAAAAGAGAGTTACTGTTCGCACCCAAAACAGAAGAAATCCCGAAATTGGGAGCGACTCATCGGAAGAACCTAGACAGGAAGACCTTAACAATTAGTGTGAGGGTGACGGGAAGGGGGAAGGAGTGATACCTGGCTCATGAGAACAGTGGAATGGAGATCAGGCTGAGATCTTGTCCTCCATACATCAGCTCCGTAGAACACCAATGATAGATCCTGGCTGCTGCTGTAGCGGAACGCCTTCTAGAGGCGTTACCCTGGTACGACTAGGTAAACTCGCGGTAAGAGCTCGTCAACAACTGCGAAAGAACCTGGATGGAGGACCGGCCACCACACGCGTTGCCCTACCCGGTGGAAAGGGGCAGTCACCCGGTGTGTATGGGCGAACACGTTTCCCCTCCCGATTGCTCAACGGGTGGGAAAGATGGCTATGGCGTCAAGTTACCACAGTAAACCGGGAAGCCGCGCGACGGCGCAGGCCACAGCAATTAATTAGCCCATGGACGCAGGAGCGCGCGCCGGTCCTCTCCCTCAGGCTTTCTCCCCCCTATTCGCACTTTTTGCAATGCCATTTCCTTCTTTCTCTTTGCTATTGGAAATATTTTTTGGGGGCCGCGCGTACGCGTGCCCCCGCTACCAGAAATACTGCCGTAGTAACACCGCAGTGGGTGTGACTTAGGCCAGGCGAGACCCAAAGTGCAATGGGAACCCTGCAACCTAGGCCATCCGCCTTCCTGATCACGGATGTGCCCCGGCCAGGTAAGTATGCCATAGAAGAGAATGCTTGAGGCTTATATACTGTAGCAAGACGAGGGTGCTTTCGACAACTGCAGCAGCCCTTGCTAAATTCAGGAAAGTGTACAGTTATGGGATGAGCGGAACGCAGCTCGGCTAGATAGGAAAGGGACTCTTCTGCATTACTCTGGCAGGCCAATCGAGCTGGTGGATTTTATTTTCGTTTTGTTTCAGTTTGATTTTGCACAGCGCTCCACTGCTCACCATTCTACACTTATCTGGGATGCAATCTGGACCACATGCGTTCGGACTAATCAAAGCTTTTGAATGGGTTGGAATATGGAATAATAAGAACCTCCGGCCCACAACCATTTCCCCCCCCCACCCTCTCACCATGTCATGGAACATATCTTTCTTGGGTTAATTTGCAAAATACCCTCATAAATAGCAAAATGCCCCTGAAAGATGTGGGGAGAGCAGAATGCCCTTTCGGGCATAAATGTTTGTGTTGTGCCCCTGGCAGGTTGGTGTGCAACTTTGCAACCTGAACGTTCCCGTTTTGGCCCCGGCCTTTTGCAATGGCGCCTAGGAAAAGTTGGCAAGTACTGGGGCATTTTGCAAAGTTGGGCGGTACCTGATAGGGGTATATTGTAAGGATGGGGGTCCAACCGATGCCAGGGGTATTTCACAAAATATTTTTTTTGTCAGAGGGGCATTTCGCTCTATCCACATCTCTTAGGGGCATTTTGGCATATATCTCAACTTCTTCGGGTATTTTGCAAATTGTTGCATCTTTCTTTTACTACCTACCTGCCACTACCCCTAAGGCCATACAGGGGACCCCTGCAAGCAGAGCTTTCTACCTCTATTAGGTGAAGGGAGGCTTTTTTTTTTTTTTTAAACAAAGCTATATTCTTCTCTCAATTTCACCTTTCACTATCCACCTACCACTACTCTTAAGCCTACACAAGTGACCCCTGCAAGCATACTAACTCTCACAATTAAACCACTAGGACTTGGCCCAGCTATCGATGCCGAGCCTGGAATGCCCCTGCCCGCCGATTTTCGCCGAAGCGCCGGGGTACGGTTTCAATTTTTTTTTGGCTGGTGCTTCCAGCCATTGTGGTCCAGTGCCCCGAAACCCTAAAGGCGCGGCAAGTTAACGGGAAAGCGCCGCGGCCAATAGCTGGGCCAAGTACTGGTGGTTTAAGGGGATACATGTTGTTGCCCCCTGCCGTAATCGGCGGTGGTCAGGGAGTAGGGTGGGGCTGTTGGGGGTGAAGGCAGTCTCGGTTGGTTCGTTGAACAATGCTAGGATAGCTTGGTTTTGGTTTCTAACTAGTTGCAGGGTTTTCTCTAACACCTAGGGTTTTGTGTGGGTAGTCCTTTTTTCTGAAGTTTGTCTTAGTTATTTTCTTTATAGCTCAAAATTTTCTTAGCCAAAGCCGGGTAATGGCCCCGGTAACTTAAACTTTGAAATTCTACGTAACTTTCCATTTGGGACGCTGGGCCTGGTTCCCAGAACGTGCTGCTCCCCACGAAGAGATTGGAGCCTTGTTCCCCTCACCCCCGCCCCCCCAAAAAAAGAAGGGTGGGGGCTGCCGTTGACGGGGGCCGGCTAACGCAAAGACAGAGCATTTTGCCAGTATCTGCGCCTCCCATGTACTTCCCGAACCCCCCATTGAGTAGCAGCAGTGGCTATGGCCAACGCTCTCCCACACACCACACACAGCCCCTCACACTCACACTCCCACCTGTGTTGGTCATGGACCCAACGACTATACCAACGGAATCATGTGGACTATCACAGTCTGTTGGCACTAAGTGTGCTTCCGGGGGTCATGGGGCTCGAATCCACAACCTCCTTAATGGCAATCGCATGCCTAACCAACTGAGCTAGGCCACTGGATGGAAGCTCAGTGCCCAAGGATCACATCAATCGTAGAAAAGTCCTCCACAGTCAGGGACCAACTGCCCTCAACCCGCTCCCCAGTCAGAGCCTCGACCCAACGGCAATCCCCAAAAAATAAAGCTTTGCCCACGGAGAACTACACAACCCTGTCTGGGAGGCTGAACCCCCAAAGAATAAAGCTCTGAACAAATTCATTGGCCTGCATTGCTGGCATAATCTACCTGCCTTCCAGAACAAACAGCACCTAATAGGGCATATGATGCTAGCACTTTCCTAAATGTATCTGACCCCAATTACAGCGCATCCTGGATGGATCTGACCACAACAACATCTACAGCTGAGTAGAAAAACTCCTAAACACTCCTATCCTAGTGTCAGTATGGCCTTTTTTTCTTTTTCTTTTTTTTCTTTTGAAAAGCCCAGGTTGTTCTAGAGGTGGGATACTGGACGTATGACATTCGCCCACAGTAATAGCCCATTTGGTTATCCAGATGAACCCCTCTGAAGACCCCACCCACCCTTAATGTCATATTTTGCCCCCGAGCACCCCCACCGCCCCTGTCCTACCCTGGTGTTAACCAACCAGGACCATCACCCATCACCATCTTGGCAGGGTGACCTGACCTGACAGTAGATGCAGGCGCCTCGGCTAAGCAGAGACCCTTACCCAATGCTCAGCCCTGAGCTAGGTCACATGTTGTTGAGAACTCATCATTCAGCCACCTCAATGCCGTAAGTGTGACTTGCCCACTGGCCACGTTGTGACGCCCAACCTCACGCCCGACGCGACTTCCTGTTTCGGAGTGTTAGTGGGCCTGGAAGTGCGAAGAGGGGTGTGCCAAGGATTTTTGGAAAGTGGGGGTGGAGTTCCAGGTCGGAACAGGAATCTCCTGTGTCCAGTTTCAGGGATAGAAGTGCAAGTGGTTCCTCTAGCTCAGAGTTGGGGTGGGCGTCGTTCCTGCGGCTGGGGCCAGGAAGGAGCCGGGTGCACGAACGGGGTGTTGCGGGCGTCGCTGTGGGAATGCTCGTACCTCCGTCGTCCGACACAGAACTCAAAGTCAGAGTCTGATGAGGAGGACGAGCTAGGTTCCCGTCGTTCTCTCCGTGGAGGAGTCTGACGCGTGACCTCCGTCTGTTCGTGCTCGTTGGGCTGCTGACACTCTGGGCACGGAGGCCAGGGCCAGAATCGGGATATGGACTCCCAGGGAGTAACTAGCAGTCAATGCTAGCGACGAAGCCTGGGGTGATAAAGTATCGCTGGTGCCTACTGTCGGGATACTCAGGAATTCAGGAATCCCGGTTGATTGCCAACCGGAAATCGCCCCTACACAGTCGCTCGTGTTCAGTTCAGCAGGGGTAATCAAGGTTCCGCAAGTTTTGTTGTCGTCTGATCCGTTGTTGTCGGAGTCCGACCTGTTGTGGTTGGATCTGTTCCCTTTCCCAAAATGTCCTGTACTCGGGATTTCTCAGGCTTTCGCGGTCGGTAATCCAAAAGGGAGTTTCGATCGCCATATCCAGATCAACAGGACTCAGTCACCCACATCATTCCTACGTGGCGGGATCGTAACTAGCCCTTACATGTGTGCGTGTAGATGGCAAATCCGTTGACGGATTGCTGTCTTTCACGCGTGTACGCACTGGCCAACTAGTCAAGTCCTAAGCTGCGTGTCCCAATGGCTGAGCAGTTCTATTGGCACACCGGTCCGATTATGCATGCAACCCCGTTCCCAGAACAGCCCCTCCCTCGTTATATTTTTATGCATCAAAGGAAAGGGCCATCAAACATTCAAGGAGCAGACATACCTTCCCGGTAATTCCCGTAATCTCATACACAGGTGGAACGCAAGTGATTGGGCTAATCTCGCGCAGTGAGCGCACCGGCTTGATCTGAGAGAACTCACACTCGTAGATCGATACATACACTTCAATGTCGAACGCCGAGAAAGCGACGAAGTTGAAACCACACTAATCTACTGAACAAAACAAAATGGAAAAGCAAAGATAACTTGCGAGAAAGAATGCGAGATCGTTCGTCACCATACATACGTGCATGCATTCCAACAAAGAGACCTGAGAAGATTCACAAAGGAAATTTGAAAAGTGTCGCAACAAAATTGGCCAACGTTGCAACAAAAATTTATATAGAAGAGAGAGAGGAAAAGACACTGTTCCACCATATCCCTCGTCTCTCTCTCTCTCTCTCTCTCTCTCTCTCTCTCTCTCTCTCTCTCTCTCTCTCTGCGGGCAGTCCGTCTCCGCGCATCCCAAAGACCTCACAAAGTCGTCACCCCGCTTAGCTTGAGCGTGCAAGCCAGGTTCGCCCACGTGCCACAGTCCCTTGCGGCCACGCGTCAACCCCGCGCACTCAGCACCAGCTCGTCAGATCGCCCAACTCTCTACTCACCGTCTTTCTGCATGTTAGCCGATCCTCTCGACCGCGCTAACTCCCAAAAAGATTACAGAGAAAATTAATCGCGCTTGCATAATTTATAGCTTCAAGTTGTTAATCAGCATGCAATAGTTGGGATTGCCAGAGGAACAGGAAAGAAGGGAGAAAGGAAGGGCCTACGAGTGCATGACTGGGCCACGGCATGGGGGACGTAGCCTCACTCGAGATAGGATGTAGAGTGCGCATGCAGTGACGCGGGAAGGGAATTTCAAGAAGTTCAACGGGGAAGATTATAGTTAACAAGAAGAGACTACAGTTGAGATTAGAATTTAGGCGCGGCGGGAACAGAGAGCAGGTCCCTGTGCAGCAAAGTGCGCGCGCAAGCAAGAGGTGATGTGCAGTTACGGGCAAAAATTTCGACGCACCCAATTTCCTAGTCTAATTAAAGCCCTAATACAAAAATAAATTCCGAGAGCCCGCATGGGCTCGTTCTAAATGCAAAAATTCCGAAAGAATTACCCACGTGATTATCGCGCCAAAAAGACGGACGCCTTTTTTGAAAACAAAAGAAAAGAAAAGAAAAGAGAGAGAGATCATGACCGAAGTTGCGCCCCCCACCCACCCCCCCGACGCTTGCTAAGGCGCGGGCCTACTGTCCCACGGTCCATAACCGCCACTCTCTCTCCTCCGAAGGACCGAGGAGGAAACTTCAAAAAATCAAGGAGGAGGGACTGCCATGCAATTTATCCCCCATCCCTCTGTGTACCCCCAATCCCGGTTGCGCAGAAGATGGCGCCTTACAGAAAGTAGTTCGTCACATATGTGACGCCCAAGGGGTTCCATCCTGTGCAAACTCCCGCTTGCACCCACATCTCTCCCAAGCTCGAAGAAGAAAGAAGAAGGAAGAAAGAAAGAATTACATCTCCTTCAATATGACATGTGTCGTTACCGTAGGATAAGAGTGTGAAAGTCATCCTCTCGACATGTCATTCAAGCCGTCCTCGTCTCAAGGGTGGGGGAGTCGGAAGATGGTCGGGATAGGCGGGGGAGGATCATTCAGGAGAGGCGGTAAGAAATTCGCGTCCCCATCACCGTTTTAGGGAGCTCCTGGTACCTGATGATGCGATGGATGCGGGGGAAGCGATTTCCGCCTTTGGGGAGGGAAGCAAGATAATTGGGATAGAGGGTTGAGAAGGTGCGAAACAACGCCGTGCGGAACTGCTCATGATCTGCACACACGGGGATAGTTCCCGTGATGATGCAGTAGACTTCAATGACGTCCTGGTCTCGCCACGCGGCGCTGAACAGAAGGACGTGGAGATAGAAGGAAGAAGAGACACATTGGGCGGTGGGGTGCGGGTATACTTTGGCGACGAGGCGGGTGACGTAGAATTGGTGGAAGGTCGAAGAAGGAAAAGGATTCGAGGGGAAGGAGCGTGGAGTATTGATCTGTCGGAAGGTGATGTAATCAAGGGGATGACGGGATAGGGAATGGGGACGTAGCCCGATGTCCCGCATTGCCACAAGCTCGAACTGAGGCACGGGGGGAAGGGGAGGGGGTGCGGGATCGCCTGCGCGTCGCCGTGCCAGAAGTCTCTGCATGAGGGTGCTCATCTTCCTTGGCTGGCAGCTCAGGATCTTTAGTCGGGTCGTCCGGAACAGGCAGATCAGCTCCCACCGACAGCTCCAATGGCCGCTTTCCTTCCCCGATGGCCGCCCTGCGCCGCTCTACCTCTGGATCCTCTTCCTGGGCTTCCGCCTGATCCGCTTCCTCTTCTCCGACCGCTTCTTCTTCGGCCTCCTCCTGCTCTTCTTCTTCTTCTTCGCTCACCACCCCCGCCTCATGCTCACTATGCTCACTATAATCCTCGTCCTCTTCGGAGGTCTCATCCTCGTCTTCTTCAGAGGTCTCTCCCTCGTCTTCTTCGGAGGTCTCTCCCTCGTCTTCTTCCTCTTCCTCCTCCTCTCCTCCGCTCACCAGGTTGAAGAGAGCGTCCGCACTGGTCCCGGGATCCAGGTAGCTGAGCGATGGGTAACAAGCGTTATCATCATCGCCTTCTAGGCATGTTGACCATTGCAGATACGGTACCAGGCTGCGCGAGAGGATGTGTGGTACTGGACTCTTGCCAGAGTGCGAGATGACGTCAAGCGGAAGATCGTCTAGCAGCTCAGTCTGGAGGATCAACAGCTCACTTACGATCGTCCGTCGATGGCCCGGCTCGACTGATCCGAAGACGAATCCTAGAAAATCCCCCTCTGTGTCCGTCTTCCAAGCTTGAATGAGTAGCATCTCGACGTCCTCACTAACTGCGGGCTGGTCACCGTCCTTCCACCATGTCAGATCGATATCGACTAAGCACAACGAAAGAGTTGCATACGTCTGCCACCACCTTAGCCACTGCTCCGGCTTGATCCTAGGAAGCATAAGCGGGCGCACACAAAAAGAGAGGAGGGGATGGAGTGCGGACTGCCAGAAGAGAGGAAAAGTAGAGGGGAGACTGAAAGTAGAGAATCTGTAACGGTTCATTGAGGGCGCGGGAAGGGGACAAGTTTGGGGATGAGCACCGCTGGTGCGTGCCGAGAGAGGCGAATGCCGTCTATGTCAATACTGTCGGTATTGACAATTTTATCCCCTCGCTGCGTGAGCATCTGACTCCACACCCTCGACAATTGCGCTCCCCAATCTCGCAACGAGTCAAAAATGGTCGTATGCGTTCTGTGATTGAGCAGAGTAAAATCCCCGCTGAAGATGACAACTGCTGAGATGTGAGCAGTCCCTGGCGCCGAGAGCCGACGGTAAGCCGAGGCTTTGGCCTGCACGTGTGACCTATTGTTGGGGATCACAAATCGAAACTCTGTCGCCGCGTAGAATCCCACCGTGCTGAAGAACTGGGCGAAGCGGAGAGCGTCCGGGCTGATGCGCGGATGATACACTTGTCGAATGGACGAGATATGCCCACCTGGCGCCAACATGCGTTCACTGAGTACCTGCTCCGTGGAGAAACTCATGGCGAAGAGGAGGGAGAAGATGAGCGAGTAGAGGAAAGAGAATGAGGCTCATCACTGTTCCACTCAGACTCCGAGATCGACCCAACTGGAGAAGGAGGGGAAGAAGTCCAGAGATGGCGGAGGTAGTACACGTGGCGGACGATAGGCCTAGCCGACCGGTTGCCTGATACCTCAGGAGCAAGTTGCACCGTGTTCACGCCGTTAGGACCGAGCTCGATCACTCTGAAGCATCCGTAGAATCGTGGTGCTAGCTTACCCTGGCGAGCACATTTCATCACCTGCACCAAGTCCCCCAATTTATACTGGGCCCGAGGGCCTGCATTCCCATTTCGGGCCTCATAACTCCGGACCTGGCGTCCGTGTGCCAATTCCGTCATACGCTGACTTTTCCGAGCCAGTCTCGGAAGGGCCAGTTCCATGAGGTCCAGATGGCGCTCGGCCATCGCCCACGTGGGACGTTTGTCCAGCGCCGATTCGTCATTTAGATTCGGTATCGAGACACAAGATAGGTTGTTGGTACATAGCTGGAAAGGTGAAAGTCCGATAGATTCATGCGGGGTCCCTCGGTGTATAGCTAAGATGTGATCTACAATACGAGGCCACTGCCGCATGTCCTGAGCTGCAATATTCCGTCGAAGTGTCGTTTTAATTACCCGGTTGGCATTTTCCATGAGGCCGTTCGATTGAGACATATGGGGAGCCGTATTACGAATAGACACCCCGTGTACGACCAGGTTCCTCATGATTTCTCCCGTGAATTCAGCTTCGTTATTGGTAAGGATTTCCTCGGTGTCCTGATGCATCCCGAGGAAACGGTTGACATACCGCGCTATTTCCACCGTCTATCGTGTCCGACATGGGTAGGCCTCGATCCACTTTGAGAAGTCGTCGACAAACACCAAAAGAATTGAATATTCACAACTATTTGGTCCAAGAGGGATAATAATATCCGTCGTGTCCATGCTAACCCTCTGAAATGGCCGTTGGACTATGGTGGGCACTATCGACCTAGGTGGCTGAATCAGCGCTTTGTTGGCCGCACAGACGGGACAATTTTTAACAATATATTTAACGTCGTCCCTAATGTTGGACCAATACCATTCGTTCTTGTCGATGGCGGACTAGGTAATCCTGACCGCGAAATGGGCTGCTGTCTCTTCGTGGGCTGCTTTAACCCAATCACACCTCATAAACGGGTGCGGAACTACCATCCATATTCCGCTCCTCTGTTGTTCCCCGTACGTCGTACGGGGGGTCTGCGTACGGACCTTCCGTACGGACGGACGGACGGACGTCGTCCGATGGTGTTTTTGGGACAAAGAAATAAAATAAAATAAAAAAAATGGTGTTGTAGATCTCGAAAAGATCTACAACCCTTTTTTTTTTTTTTTTTTGGCCTTATAAAAGTTTTTTTTTAA